CCCTTGGTAAAAAAAAAAAAAAAAAAAAAGAGGCCCTTGGTCTGAAAAGCATATGTAGTAGCCTTTCTTTGACTTTAGATGGATGATAGATTGTATAGGTGTTGAATGCAATTAATATCTCCATATTGCTAAACTTAAGCGGATATTTAGGATTATATAAAGGTGCTAATTTTTGGATGAAAAACGGCCATTTGACAGTAATTTGTAGTTACCCCTGCATTTTGACAACAGCAATTTTCTTTAACAGGACTTGGAAACTTAATAAAAACATAAGAAAACCCTACTAAATCCTAAAAATTTGAAAAAGAAGCACCGTGTTTGCCAACCCCCATCTTGACTGGATATCGCCTTTAGATGTCCTTGAGCCCATATAATCATGATTCGTGTCCTGTCATTGAACACTAGAAATTTCATTTCATCAATCAAGCTATATGCTTATGCATATAAATGTAAATGGACGTTCCAGCATCCTGTGTGCAAAAGCAGTGCTCTATATAATTCAGATGCAGTGCTTTAACAACTTTAGAAGAGATCCATATGGCTGTCACTTGTCGTAATTAGCCGGTATCAAGGATAAACCTTAAAAGGGACGTTCTTTCGCCACTCCCTGTTCATAGTGGAGGGCCAGTGCAAGTGGACTTGACTGTTGAGGTTTGGATGCTTCCACTAGGGATTTCCAGCACTTGCTGTGATAACTCCTATGTTTCAGTTGGTTTTGGTGGTCTTCTTGTCTAAATATTATGAGCTTTTTCCTTGTTCACTCTGATTTAAAAAAAAAAACACTTTCTCGACTCATTTTCCATCCAATTCTCTCCCTCCCTCCCTCCCTCTCAGTTTTCAAAGCTCGCCTTTAGTGTCAGGTGCTGGGCAGGTGAGCAATTTTTAATCAGGAATTCCAGTAGAAGTCCTAGTTTTAACAGTTAATAATGATCTAGTACTTTCTGGCAAGTCATGCAATTGTTAGAAAAATATACTCATGACTAGGCTTATCACGTGCTTGGGGAACTTCAATACGCATGTTACAGTCTCAATCGCTGAGGTTAGAATGTTTTGACTTGTAAATGTTAGGTCAGCAATTGGTTTCATGGTGTTGACTGTTATGAATTACTGTTTTAACTTGGGCTGCAAGCACTTTTTCTAACATTGAGGTTTTGAAATCTATGATTTGTAGATGTTGTCAGGTCAGCAATTAGTTTCGCGGTGTTTGCTGTTCTTCTCTCAACTTGGGCTCTTACCTTCTCCATTGGAGGAGAGCGTCTATTTGGTCATGCTTGGGACAAGCTAGTAATGTACAACGTTGCTGAGAAATATGGTTTAACGGGGTGGATGTAGGTACTTATTCCATTTCTCTGTGGTCGAAGCTGCTAGATACAAGATTTGTATATATTCTTCACTTGAAAAGATTATCTGACGTTGGAACTTCTCAGTTAGACAGTTACTATGATACTATTAAGGAGGTGATGAAACCAGAAAAGAGGTCCACCTTTTGAACTCATTGTATGCAAAACCTAAAGATGCACTTTACGGATTGGAAGTTGTCATTTTGCTCCTTTGCGCTCTCTCTCTCTCTCTCTCACACTCTCTCTCTCACACACACACACATTAAGAGATACAGAGGTACTATAATACTGTTAAATTGTAGATGGAATCATAATAATGTGAATTAAGGGACATGAGATTTTGTATTGTATTGTTATGAGGTGATTTAGAAGGATTATAATGCTGGAGGATTGTAGATGGGTAAATCAAATCTATGCAAAGTTAAGCTACTAAAAATTAAAGTTATCTGACCATAACCTTTAGAAAAATCATGTAGCTGGTCATAATTAAATAATTTGTGATTTGAGACGCAATAGCAGAGTTGTGTATAATCAGAATTTTTGGGGTTGCAAGAGGTAGTCTTTTAAGGGAAAGGGGAAGGGGTTGAGTCAGTGGCGAAGACGCTAATTTACGAGGAGTATCCTTGAATATGTCTAATTATTTACTAAATGTTTAAGTAAATAATATTTTCTTAAAACAGTATAGAGAGAGAGAGAACAGTGAAAGAAAAATATTGGTGAAATTGTGATAATAAGTTTGATTATGCAAAATTTTGTGATATTAAGTTAGGTATGCTCTATGCTGCGGGAAATTCCTTCTGCTCTCATAGTCATGGACTCATGGGTAGATTTACCCCTGGTAATGGGTGCAAGAGTACCTCATTTGTTTTATACTTAACTAGTTTTAGGGGACGCGTTTTGCACGTGTTCCTCAAGTTAATGAATGAATAATCTTTTTTTTAAAAAAAGTTAAAACGTGAATTACATTTTTAATGACAGAATTATAATTAAGAAAATAATTATACGAAATTTGCGCATATACAATAGTTTATATATCTAATTTGGGAGAAAAATATTTCTTGAATGGAACTTTGAAGTTGCTCTACTAAATTCAAATATGCATGTTCCTAGCGTATGTTAAAGAAAAATATTATAAATAAATTATTTAGTTTATATAATTTAAATTTTAATTAATTTTAATATTCTAAATATTAGGACTTTCTATATAATATTTCAAATAAGAAAGTTTTAATAAGCAAAGTTTTAGTTGACCTTAAAGTCCTAAATCTTAGAAAAATAATTAAATGACGTTTTTGTCTACATGAAATCTATATTCGATAGTGTAAGGGTACGCGCTTTCCCTAATGCGCAAAGCAATTCCTAGTTTATAGTACGCGGGTTGCACGTAAGGCTGGCAAGTGGGCCGGTCCAGGCCCGGGACCGCGGGCCAAACGGTTAAACGGGCCAGGATCGTTTGGTCCGGTTTTAACGGGCCTGGTCCGGTCTCGTGGGCCGGTCCTATGATTTGGGCCCGTCAGGCCCGGGATCGTTTGGCCAGTAGCAGGCCAAACGGTCCCAACGGCTTTTTTTTTAAAAAAAAATAGTCGTTGGGCTGTCAAAAATAGTCGTTAGCTATTTATAAAATAGTCGTTGCGCGTAAGGCTGGCAAGTGGGCCGGTCCAGGCCCGGGACCGCGGGCCAAACAGGCCAAACGGTTAAACGGGCCAGGACCATTTGGTCCTGTTTTAGCGGGCCTGGTCCGGTCTCGTGGGCCGGTCCTATGATTTGGGCCCGTTAGGCCCGGGATCGTTTGGCCCGTCAGGGCCCGGGACCGGCTCGGTCCCTTAGCGGGCCAAACGGTCCCAACGGCTTTTTAAAA